CGCACTGAGCTGTCGTCGGACTTTACAGCTCACAGCTCGCTTTAGCCAGAAAAAATCGGCACTCGTTTGCTTCAAACACAACTGTGGGAACGCCGATCTCCATCTATTCCATCTCTATCTATTCAAACCCGAAACACTTGACCCACATGCAGCGATTACAACTGCGATCTGTACATATCTCTGTCCTTCAGCCAAATTACGCAGCCTGTAATCGATATACTGATGAGCTCAGTACAGGATCATTTACAAACGATTTTATGCTACATTGAGTTATAAGACACAAACAATAGCATTAGATAAGAGCCAGCTGCCAGCAGCCGCAATAGATGTGGGCACCATCGATTGAGTTTTCTTGTGGTTTCGATATCAAAACAATTTATAATAGAGGTAAACAAATGGGGCTAACATGGGGTAAGCCAGAAGAAAGTAGAAAACTCAAGGCAAAGTGCATCCCTCTTCCTGTCTTAGATTATTTTGTATAAAGTTTCATAATTCATAACAAGGAAATTTAAACAACAAAAGTAATCGTTGATATTTCTATCACTACAATATCCAGAAAGTTCCTTGAGAGATATAACAATTGAGTAGGCTTTGCATATAGCTTAATACTTTATAAAAATGTTTTATTTTTTAATAAGGCAATCCATGATAATTCTGTCACTAAAATCATTAGATTCCCATACACCATGTTGAGCGTTACCAAATTATTTATTCTATTGCTGAGCGTTAAGCATTGTACAACGATTGCGTCTCCAAGCTTGTAAGTTTTTTTTCCCATACTTTTTTCACATTTTTCCACATTATTTATTTGTACGTTTTCAAAGGAAAATCAGTTTTTCTCAGTTCTCTAAGTTGATAGCAAAAAATAAAATATGGGGCGCCGCAAGTCGAAACGTAAGCCACCGCCGAGACGTAAGCTTATCCAAAACCTGGAAAGACAATTCAATTGTCCCTTTTGTAATCACGAGCGATCCTGTGATGTGATTATGTAAGTCTTACAGTAGAATACCTAAGTAATTCTCTATTATTTGTCTATGATCTATCCTGAACAGGGACAAATTGCGTAAAATCGGTCGCATTGTCTGTCGCGTCTGCCAGGAAGCCTTTCAGAGCCAAATCATGGCTCTATCGGAGCCCATAGATGTCTACAATGATTGGATTGATGCCTGCGAAGAGACTAATTAGCTATAATAACTACAACTAAACATATACATACAGCAGGCATATTATTCTTTGTAAAGGTGAAAATTGGTATTCTATTTGATTTGTGTCACTCGAAAGTATGCAATATCTTCTGTTGTTGCTCCTGAATTACCAGATAAGCCTGAAGCTATGCTTTGAAACACAGTTTTTATACACTGATCTAACATGATAGTAAGCCCAAAATAATTAATTTTAAACTACTGTTACCATATTACTAAATATATATATTGATATATATTACAAAACGTAAATATCTTATTTATTTAATGAAGAGTATAAGGAAACGTGATTAAAAATCAGAGACAAGTACATATATATTACATACATATTTTTGTTTAAAGGCATCAGAAATATGTAAGAACATATGTATAATCATAGAAATATGTTCTATTAATATAATATATAAATTTTTTTTTTTTTTTTTTTTCATTTTTACTATTAATTTACGTATAAAATTATCAGAAATAAATCTCTAAACATTTTCATTTCTAAAGAAAAGTTAATTTCTTTAAAACATCACTTAAAGTCGAAAATTAAATAATTTCCTAAACATTTTCATTTCTGAGAATATAGTTTAGAACTTCAATTTTACTCGAAATTACTTAAGATAATCTTGTTTAATCTTAGTTAGCATTGATGTCAATCATATGGAAAAAAAAGTAGTCCGTGAAGTGTTTAACCTAATAAGTGTGACATAAATTTAGATAAAACATTATTTGAACAGTTGTAGGGCAACCCGAATTTTGTGATAAACAGCATTTGCCAAAAGTTGACTATAAAAGGGGCAAGCGTCGCTTCAGTTAGCATAGAAATTAACTAACCAATTAACTTAATCAACATGATTTCCAACAAATTCCTTATCATGAGCATTGGTAAGCATATCAGCCTGAATTATAGATAGATCTTGCTTAACTTCTCTGCTTTCCTTATAGCTCTGTTTGCTTTGGTCCTTGTGGCTTCTGCCGAGGACAGCGAAGAACAGATCGCTGATCGTCGTTTCCGCTGGATTGGATCCAACGAACAGGAGGAGGAGCAGGACGGCGGTGATGAAAATGATATTGAAGAGGAAGACGATGCGGAAGAAGAAGAAGAGGAGCCAGTAGAAGACGCGGATAGCCTAGAGGCAACAGAAGAAGACCAAGAGGAAGACGAAGACGCAGAGCAACTCGATAGCGAAAGCGCAGAGGATAATGCTTAAATCAAAATGCATGAAGCAATATTAATTAATTTTCATTAACTGTTAAAACTATTTAAATATTGTTTAATTTAATCACAGTTTTTGCTACTATTTTGTATATTTTTATATCAAACCGCAATTAAATATAAAGCAAATCACAAAAAAAAAAAAAAAAAAAAAAACCAAACAATATTTGTATAATTAATTTTATTTAACATAATTTAAAGTATGCATAATTCAATTTTTAATATGGTTTACAAACATTTAATTATTTATACTTGTATTTATTTGTATTATGCATTTAAATATATAGTATTTATATTTAAACTATGACTAAACATAAATTTCATACAATTATGTCATCGCTCAATAATTTAATTGAAATATGATAAAATATAATATTTTACCTTTTCTACATTTTAAATAAGTGTTTTTTTTTTTTTTCTTTTAACCAAAATTGGAATTGGAATGATACACAGGCAACAAATCGAAATGTAAAACAGAAAACGGTGAACAAAAAATATTATATATGTATATCTTGTATCAATTAATAGACGGTTTATTTAAAGAGGTTCCTTGAGGTTTCCATTATTCTGCTGATTCTCGCGTAACATTTTCTTCAGCGCAATACCAAGAGAGATCGTTTATGATTGGCTCCGGTTTGGAAATGAATCGCCAACAATTAATTGCACAAGTTAATTAGATTGTATCCTGCCTATTTACTTTAACTCTTCATTGATGTAGTTGTAGTTTGCCTTAATGCGTTGCGTTGCGTTGCGTTTTGAGTCTTGTTTTCTCACCGCACACCCCAGCCACAATCCAACTGTTCCGACTGCCGACGGTGTCATCACACATTGCTGTCGGTGCCCACGGCACCGGTGAAGGAGAACGGCTGTGCATTGCTCACAATGCCCGCCCGATCGCTGGTCGTGGACGCTGCATTGCCTCCATACGATGTCTGCGCTGCCGCGGCTCGCATATCGGCAGCGGAGGCTCTGCGATGAGTGAGGAAAGCAAAATATTAGACATGTATTCACAAACGAAATGTTTTAGTATAAATAGAGCTTGCTAAAACTTAAGACAACATATTGCTAAAGATTATTAGAAAAAAAAGTATGTTAGGTTGATAGAAAACTAATGGCAATGTGTCTCGAATGTAGGACTCGTGCTTTGCATAGGCCAAACAACTAACTATATTGGTTAAGGTTCGACTTATCGACTAGGAAACGGCTATGCACCAATCGCTCTACTAGTCACGCATTACTAGTGTTTAATCATGAAAACTAAAAAGGTAACAATAGTAGGCTGTGGCATTTTTAAGCCTTTAGTCAAAACTAAAAATGTTACTTTTTATTTAACAGACTAGATTAAATATTACTAGAAGAGACGTATCTATCGAAATTTTCTGTTCAATTTTGCTGTTAATTCAGATAGACTTTTGACAATAGATTTAAAATTCTACAAAGAATAAAAATCAATTGATTTCATATGCTTTTCGTGAGCTTAGAGTAAGTACAGTGCATAATAGACTAAGGAAGAGTTGAGTTAAATAATAAATTGAAACTCGGGTACTAAAACTGACATAGAATACATAGGCGAAGATAACTAAAGACATACATTGTAAAAAAAAATATACAAGTTTATAATATTTAACAAAAACTTTTTCATTAGAAATATGGCAGCAATATTATTTCATATTTATAAATATAGAAAAGTCCATGCAAACTGCAAAACAACAAAATAAAAATAGCAAACTCAAAAGAGAACTAACAGAAAGATATACATATATTAAGATATAGAAATAGTGACAGCAATTCTTAGAAAGTAGCGCCTTTCTATTTACATTCTAAATGATATCAACATAGTGCAATTGATTCGATTCGACTACAGAATGTTAAATTGGACTAATAATTCGTGCTAAGTATAAATTGACATTAGCGTACTTCTTGCTGTTGTTGTTGAAGTTTATGTCGCTCGTTTGCTGCAGGCATTATTAACTGGGACTGTGTGTTCTGTGGCAGTTTGGCATGTACAATTCATTAGCATAATATGTTGATAATATTTATTTTAGTTAACTCGTAACATAATATTTTACTTGAATGTTTTTTAGTGTTGCGTTCGTTAGGCATATATATATATATATTTATATATATAATTAATTAACTAATTTCATCTATATATTTAATGTATATTAAGCTAGGACGACGTTGTTCAGGCTGCTTACGAGAAATTGATTTTTGTAACAAGTAACCAGAGAGTATGCATTTATATAGAGAAGCCACATTGGATGCCAATATGGATCCATTAGGATGCTTATTCTGTTTTCCATTTGATGCGAGTATTATTATGTTTTTAAATAAATGATGATTATGCATACAACTAAATTAACAATAAGAGGCTTAGCTTACGGCAATAAATAAATATATAAATTAATTATGATAATAATTTTGTTCAACAAATCATATGATTGTTAATTGAAATACAAAAAAATAAATATTTAAAATGGAATGAAATTCTGAGCACACAAAAGGCTTTAGCCGAATACATATGATGTTTAAATTTCACAATAACCTTTACAAAGTTTACATTTATATATAAATTACAATGGAAATAATTATCATGTTTCTACTTTAATAAAAATAAATCCAAACATATATTTGTTCATCTCAATTAACATTTTAACATTTACATTTGTTCACTTTATTTATGTGCAAGCGCAACGCATATCAAATGAATGCTCTCTGAGTTTTATATATTGCTCTACGATTCTTGACATTATTTTTCTTATGTTGCAGGTAATTTGTTCTATAGCCGTGTGGAAGCTGTTTTCAGTTTTCATTAAAAATAAATTGTACATGTTATAGTATAATATATATATATTTTATATATTTGCATATTTAACTGTATGTATTTGTTCAAAAAACGACACAGGACATTTAAAACTGGAGAAATGCCACTACATGCACAGGACGAACAATGGCCAAGAAAAATAGAGAAAATGCATTTGCGCAACAATTTATCAACATTTTATTATTTTGTTTTGTTTGCTTAATTTTTTGTTTTTGTCTTAGTTTTTGTTTTTTTTTTTTTTCAGTAACAACAATTACGAAAAGTTTCTTTCATTTTCAATTGGTGGGGTGTTTTTGTAATTCTGTATTCTGTATTCAATATTGTGAGACTACAATATGATCTATGCGCGGCACAATGCTGTAATTAGTTTTACATATACACATTCATATGCCTATATACATATATGTATATATATATATTCTTTTAATTGGAACGAACACTAAAAACTATGCGTCGTAAAATATTTGTTACTTATTATTTCATTATGATATTTCCTTGTCTAACTGTCTGATGTGTATCGGGCGTATGTGTGTGTGTGTGAGTGTGTGTGTGTTTGTAATTGGTTTGCTTTATGCTTCAACGTTCAATTTATTTTTGGCAGTTTATGCATTTGGTTAGCGCATTTATGTTGGACGCCAAACATCGGGATCTTCCATGAGTGTGATATGCTGATCGCCGCCCATTTGCATTTGGCCGCCCGTCTGGCTGCCGGACATTTGTGTGGGCGATGTGGCCGCAGCGGCCATGTCCTCGCGCGAAGCTCTTTTGTTAATTATTCATTATTGCATTAGGTAACAGATGTTGTTTATTTATTTTGATGTTAGATAACATTAGTTGTAAGTGTAAGCGTAATCACAGCGCAAGCAGTTCAAGGAATAGAGAGAACATTATTTGGATTAGCATTTTGTGCCTTCAGTATATTAGTTCTCTGCTCCATTTCACACTAACAATTGCTAACTAGCCAACTAACTGGATGGATGTACGGGCCACATACATATGCATACATGCATATATATATCTGCCCAAGACTTCCAAGCTATACTCACTTCTTGCCTAACGCCATCATGCCGTAAACAGCACCGGTGGCAAAGATCAGACCGCTGCCAAAGAGACTCGCCAGTCCAAAGCACATGAAAATCGGCGGCACTGCCATGCTGCAGGAATATATATAATAATAATTAGAACAGTTTGGAATAGATTGATATAGCATTGGGTACTCACGCGCAGTATAGGCCCGCCCGAAAGAACATGGGCTTGGCATCCACCATTTTCGATACATCATTGACCTTCTCGATGCAGACAAAGCAGAACGGCGCTTCCAGCGCCATCACCACAAAGCCTGCTAGCATTTGTATAATGCCCGCGACGAGGCATGAAACGCTGAGTCCAATGATTGACAGAACGTTCCACAGGCCAAAGAGTATGGCAACTGAAATAAAAGATAGGAAGAACATATATAATATATTTAAATAGAGATTCAATGTTTATATTATCCATTAATAACAAGTTAAGTTTTAGGGATTATAGGAAATAATAAATATTATAATATTCCCTGTGAGCTGGAACACATACGAAATATGTGACGCTCTCTTATCTATCTCCATGTAAACTGTCTGCTAGTTAGTTTTTAACATGCATGCTATCTATTTAAATGGGATTCATGCCACATTTCCTGCCAGATAGTTTATCATAAGCTCTTGGACACACTAGATACATTAGTTAGCAAAGTCATTTAATAGATAGCTTAAATAGAAAGGGCGTTTCGAGCCACGCAAGCTAAAAATGGAATCAACGAAGACATTAAAACATAATTATCTAGCTCTCATGTTGTTATTTAAATCGGATCTATCCAAAAATTCAACAACGCCTCCAACATTTGGCCTCATTATCTCTACGCCCAGAGTTTCTGGTGCAAATAATAGAATAAATACGTATATAGTATAACCATTCGAGTGTAATCTAATCAACGGAGCTGACTCATACAACAACTAAACTTTTATTTCTATAAAATTACTATACAAAAAAAAAAAATGAGAATAAAAAGAAAATTCAATGCTCTGAAGCTCAGAGAGCGTGACAAACAAAACAAGCAGAAACACTTGTTCAAATTGGAGCATTTGTCGGCTCAGCATCTGCTAAATGAATAGATAATAAACAGATGTCTCCCTTTGTTAGTTGTCTGATGAACTATATAGAGTATTTAAATATGAAATATTTTAGCCTATTATTTAATTAAGTTGTAACTAAATGTATATGCATACTAAATACATCTTTTTATAGCATTTTATCAGCTGTTTACCAAGCAAAAAAAAAAAAAATAATAATCTTTGACGATAACACACTTTGGGAACTAGGTAAACAAAAATATCTGAATGTGTTAATTGAGCAAAGTTTTCATTGAGTATGCAAAGATAAGAATTAAGACAACTTAAGAGTATTGGGTAGTCTACTATCCGCTGAGAGTAGGAAAATTGTAACTGAACCAGTTTCGTTTGAAAGCTAATCTGAATTTTGAGGTTGTTGCGGTACGCGGACTTTGCTAAACTCCTCCAAGTACTTGGACGCTGTGCTCTGTGAAGCGGCATTTAATTATAGTTTTATATGTATTAATTATGAACAGCACAGTTTCAGTTTGTTGTTACTTATGAAAAAGAACCGGTTGTGGGAAGCCGCACAAATGAATTCTCTTCAAATTAGCTGACTTGAGACAAACTCAATGTTTTCCTTTGCATTTCTATTTAATACATATTTTATTTAAAGCATATATTTAATACCAATCGGATTCCATTTTGATTCTGTTTATTCGTTTTATTAGTTTACTATTGATTGATTATTTAGATTTGCTGATTACGAAACATTTGGCACATGATTCAGCAACCAGCTGACGTTGAAATAGTAATAAAAAAAACCTTAAAAAAACAGCTCTATTCGGAGCTAACAAATTGTTTTCATAGGTAGCGTGTCATTGAACTTTACGCGTTTTCCTTTGAATGCGTGCGAAATGAAAATGTTTGCATTTGGCTTGCTGAAAATCGCGTTAAGTTGCGAGGGAAAAGCCAGCACACAGTCCGGGTTCAATGTCATAGCGACTGCGGAAACGTAGAACAATGGATATATATACATTTATAAATTTATATATATATTATGCAAAACAACAGAAAGCAAAGAGAGTTGCAAAAATAAAGGGAGAGGAGAGAGCTAACATAAAGAGAGCGACAATTCGATTACTGATAAAAATAAAAATAATAAAATTAACCATGTTAAATTGATGTAATTTAATGACTAAATCGAAATGCATCAAGGAAAATGGAAAATGCAAACTTGACACATATATATTTACATATATAATATATATATATATACATGTACACAAGGCTGTGCCAGACGTGTGCAGCATACACACCCAAACACAGGCAAACATTTCTGTATCCTTTGTAGCAGTTTCTTCTTATTGTTGTTGTTCTCGTTCTTTTTGCTTTTATCAATGTCAGGTCGAAGAGCGAACGAGCGAGCAAGAGAGTATGCGTGCTGTGAGTATTGTGGGTGGATTACACAAATACACACGCACGCACACATACACATATATGTATATATAGAGCCACGCATGGTACACAAATAGATAAGCTGTGTTACAACAAAATGTGTAACATGCAAAACATAAAAATCGATGCTAGTAGCCACATAAACTGTAATTGTTGTTGCTGTTGTTGCTATTGTCAGTTACTTACAGAATGCAGCAACAATGCCCAGCACCCGTGAGCCATATTTGAGATACCAAGGTGCTTCCGGACCGCCAGCTGGATCTTGATTTGGCCGCGCTAGCAGTTCTGCTAATTTTCCCGTAAACGACTGCACAGAAAGAAAACAATTGCAATAAAGAAAAGTATTACTTTATATTTGAAAAATCGAAGCACAACCGCACATATATATATTTTTTAACAATGCAATTTGTGACGCGGCCGCTTTTGATTATACACACACGCACACACACATGATTGACATGCACAATTCACGTCACCAAAAAACTTTGTGCCGCGTTCTAATAGAAACATTTAGTTTGTGTTTTGAGTATTTGAGCGTTCAGCGCGTGTTGAAGTACGTACCATTTTGTTAGGCAACTATTTAAACTTAAACTATATGTTATAGCACAAATGAAACAACTTTATGCACTTTACACTGACGAAAAACGCAGAATAGAAAAGATATGCAGAATAATAACGATAACAGAGTGAGCTATCGAATTGGCGTTGCCACCGCATTCGATATTTACAGAACATAAGCTCTGCTAACAGAAGCACTCCTCAATTTTACAGTAATGCTCCGCATGATGATAGCTTGTGTTTACAAATTCATTTATCTGAAATGCATCTTCAGGCTCTCGTTGCTAAAATGGAAAATAGGTTTTTTTTTTTTTTAATAAAACACAATTTTCTTTCGGTTTGTCGGAAGTACAAAATAAAAATGTAATACAGATTTTATTGCCTGAATTTAGATATATTGCCATTGTTGTTTGCACACAAAAAAAATATAGGGTATTATGGTCTATTTTATACGAGTAATTTGTTGATTCTTAATCGAATGAAATGGGCGTTAAGTTTTCTTTGTTTGGTTCGGTTCAAGATCAATAATAGTCGGCAAATTGCCATTTTTGATATTTACGTTTTGTTGTTGTTTTTGTTGGACGTTTTACAGTTGAAACTGCTCAAATGCATAGCAAAGGTTACTTATTTACCGTTCTTCGTTGAATACTTGGGCGATAACATTTAAAATTGATTTTAGTCTACGGCAAGTAGTGTAGTTGTTTTCTTGTTGTTGTAGAAAATGGCAATTACAATATGATTTTAAGTATTTTTATATTGACTTTATACTACGAGTATTTGTCCACACGAAAATTCTTCGCCCAAGTGTTTTAGGATTGTTTTGCTTAAAAATTAACTTAAATGTTTTTTTCGATTCATGTTCTTTAGGGATTTGTCTGTTCGTCCAGCAGCCTGTGCACTAAAGTTAACTATTTGCTATTTCTATTGATTTGTGAAACATAAACTAGTATATGTAAATGTAGTTGATATACTCGTAGCATTGTTTAAGCATTTGATTTTTCATGTTGCACATTATGGAAAATTAATTATGTTTTTCAGCTTCAACTGAATTTCTTGTTACAATTTTGAATTTGAATTTAATTTAATGTATTTTGTTATGGTTTTGTTTTGCATTTTAAAATTAAATCTCAATTATTACTATTTCACACTGAAAGAAATTTGAATTTAAACATGGTTATTGTTGCTATTGTTTGATATTTGATATTCATTGCAATTTGTTGTTGTTGTTTATTGATTTTCATTTTCTTTTTTGTTTTGTTTGGTTTTTTGTTGTTTGCGCAAAACAAATGCACAGTGAAATTGTTACAAATATTGAAGAAAAAGAAAATTGAAAAATGATTTAGTTAATGACAATTTCGATTGAACATTTGTTAAGCGCCTCGAACAGTTTCGGTTGTTCTTGCTGTTCGAATAAAAGAAAAAATAAGAAATAAAATTGGAAGAAAATTAAAAGAAATTAAAATTTTGTTGTACAATATACAAAATTAATATGGCTTTTCAAAAAGCTTTAAAAGTCAATTGTAAAAAGTTAAAGCGAAATCGTTGAAGGGACAGTTTTCAAGGCCAGTTTGTGAGCAGCATTGCGTAAAACAAATTTAAAGATAATGTTTCAGCTTCAAATGTTTTAAACTAATTTGTTAAATTCGTTAAATTTATCAAGAGTTGTCACAAGGTTTTCAAAATTTGTGTCTTATACAATGTTTTTATTTTTTATTTATGCTTAATTTTTTGTTTTTTGTTGGATATGCCTACCTGATATTGCCCCCAAATCAGTTTTGGGATTTCTATCCCCTTTCTCTCTCTCTCTTTGACTCTGGCTAACTCTTTAATATTAGTTTTAGGTGTATATATTCATATTTATATGTGTATGTGTGTGTGTGTAGGGTTGTGTATCTGTGTCTGTCCGTGTGTTTGTATTGGGGCAATGGACAAGGTTTTTTTTCATCGATTGTAGCATTATTTTGAATATTAAAATTGTTTGCTTATAAAACACTTGTTCGGTTCATCGTTCTCGTATGTATTTTATGCGTATGTACTTGTATGTTATGTAATTGTAGTTGTTGTTGTTGTTGTAGTAGTCGTAGTAGCTAGCCGTTTTGTTAAGATCACAATTGTGCTAAGAAATACTATATCACAATTAAATATTTACACTCAATATTATTATTATATGTACTTATGCTCATGGCATTACATCTTAGGTGGTGGTAATTGGGGCGGGGCAGTAAAAACGACCCAGAAAGTCATGCAAAATGCTTGCATATTAGTTGTTTGCCTCTTTGCCACATAACTTGATGTTGTTCTTGTTCTTAATGTTGATGTTGATGTTGTTGTTGTTGTTGTTAATGTTGTTTTATAAAAGGTTCATTGCACTTGGGTGCAAGGAACGAATTGTACTTAACAAAAGTATAGAAAACAAATAACTTATATAGCAGAACGTTGGGCATTTAAAGCTATGCTTTCATTTCTTTGTTTTCTTTACTTTTTCTCTCTATCCGGCTTTATCGCCGTCTCTCCTCCTTTACCTAACTCTTTTTTCACTTTACTCTTAAAAAAATACACGCAAACGGCTTAGGCTGGAGCTCTAATTAGAAGAATGTTTGCTTTACTTTGTTTGCTCACTTTATAGCTTACAGGAAATTAAAACCAATCTAATAAAACATAATTACTTGTCGTATAATATCGTATTATACCTAAAAAGTGTTTACTGCGTTCGAATTGCACAACTCTTCATTGCTATGCATTGCTTTTATATAATAATTATATAAAAATTTTGCCTGACAATTTTTACAAAATGACGTGCGCTGGAGCGGAAGACTCACGTTTTACATTTTTCTTTGTTTTTCCTTCACTTTTTTTTTTTTTTTGTATGAAAATGTGTTTACGTTAATACAAAACTTTTTACATTCCTTGCTTGCTCGCTATATACAAATGAATGTCGAAAAGATTGTTGTTCTTTATGTTTGTTGTTGAAAAATGCATCTATCGAAAAGTCCATAAGACTTTTAATGAGAGATCCATGGGAAACACCTAAAACTTAATATGTGTAACGATTATTGTTTCTTTTTCTTGTGTGTGTGTGTGTGTGTGTGTTAATGCTGCCTACAAACTGACCTTGTGACTTAGAAATGCAAGAAGTATGAGAATTTAGAAGGAAAGAAGTCATTCAAATGGACTTAGCAAAATACATTTGCTATGAAATTTTTGGTGAATGAGAAATTCGTCCACGAATTAAAATTGGGCGTAAAATTCAAAGGCCCTGGTTGTTGTTGTTGTTGTTGCTGCTGCTGTTGTTGATGCTGCTGCTGCTGTTGTTGCTGCTGCTGCGCCTGTTGCGATTGCGGACGCTGCAAAATTCGCAAATTGGTGCCAGATGCCATGCGCTGCAGCTTGTGCAAAGTCTGTGCATCCGGAGTTGTGCTGCTGTTGTTGCCAGTTGCTCCAGCAACTGTTGTTATTGGCGAATTCAATGAAACCGAAGCGGGACGTGGACGTAGCAGCGGCTGTTGTTGTTGCTGCTGCTGTTGCTCCGGTTTGGCTGTCTTTTGCGCTGCAGCTGCTGCTGTTAGCATGGCAATTAAATCCATGCCAGTTGTGGGTGTTGATTGTTGTTGTTGCTGCTGCTGATGTTGCTGCTGCTGCTGCTGTTGTTGTGGCTGCTGTTGTTGTTGTTGATTGTTGTTTCTGGTCAAAATGCTTTTGACAACAAACTGCTGCTGCTGCTGCTGATTGTTTTGTTTATCACTTTGCGATTTGGTGCGCGAACGTTGCTGTTGCTGCTGCTGCTGCTGCTTTTGTGCCTTGGCCGCTTTCTGTTGTTGCTGCTTTTCCTTGCGTATCAAATCAAAGGAGCTGACAATCTGCAATTGCTTCTGTTTAGCCTTGAGTGCACCATCTGCAATCTCAGCATTGCTTACCTTCTCATTGCTTGCCGGCTGTTGGGCATCATTCTGGCTTTGGCTATGGAACAGTTGCCGTTTGCTGGTTGCTGTTGCAGCTGTAGCTGTTGTTGGTGTTGTCGCTGCTACTGCAGCAGTTGGTGTTGCTCCAGCATTTGCTGTCACTGGCGTTGTTGTTGCTGTTGTTGGTGTATTGCTGCCTGCAGCCACATTCAGTTGTTTGTTATTATTATTATTATTCATGTTGATATTGTTATTGTTGTTGATGTTGTTGATATTATTGTTGTTGTTATTGATGTTGTTGATGTTGCTGTTGCCGTTAACATTACAATTGCTATTGCGCTTGATATTACTATGGTAAATGTTACTGTTGGCAGTGAGACCGACACTTCCACCTCCTCCTGCGCCCGCCTTGCCATTGAGATTATTTAGCTTAACACCATCCAAATCGCCCATCGATTTGTGCCGCTGACGTTTCGAGGCACTGCGCTGCTGCTGATCCTTTTTATCATTGTTGCCATTCGCCAGCATTGTTGGCGACGTAGATGTGCCACCGTTACCGTTTAGGATGACCTTGGGACTCTGCTGTCCCGAGCATTTGCGACGACGAGTTGATGGCTCAATGCCGGCGCGACGTTCGTTCACCCACTTCTTCAATCGCTTCACAAACGGCATGATCATAAAGAAGGAATTGGAGTTCTTACCCAGTTTGGCTTTCGATATGGCATCGTTCTTATTGACCGGCAATGCATCAATGCGAAACCAATCACAACACTTAATCTCATTACGCGTGCGCGGCGCAAATTTCGTATCTAACGGTATATTGCGCACTATATACAATCGTGTAAATTGATAGTTAATAAAAGCCTCAATATAATCATCAGCATCTATGATGTTCGTTATGTCAAAGCCCGTCTCCTCATATACCTAAGGCAACACAGAGGGAATGTTATTTTTAATGATCATATAAAATATATATATAATTTGTATATTTTTACTCACCTCCCTGGTGGCACAGTGTTCGGGATTCTCGTGCTCATTGATTTTGCCCTTGGGAAAGCCCCAAGAGTTTCGAGCGAAATATGATTGCACCAACAGGCAATGATTGTAGTCCTCCGATACCAGAATGGCGCCATATGTGGGCACAGATAATTTATACGTTTTCCACTCCTCCAATATCTGATTCACAGTGTCAAAATGCTTGTTCAGAAAGGGAATGTGCTGCAAAAAAAAAGCAAAATATTAATATATATATATTGGTATTGCACTCGTTATGCTCCCCCTCTCACCTGAAAGAGTTGCATGGCAAACTGCTTGATGCCCACCGCGGGCAGCTTTCGCCTTTGCTGCATCTGCTGTTGCTCCGATTCTTCGGGCGCACAGAAGAAGTCCAAGTAGAACCAATGCGCCAGCTCAATTTGAAAGCAAATGCGTATTAAATTGTTGAGCTCCATGTCCGGTACATTGATGATGAATCGACTAGCCAGATCGTCGAGTATATCGGACGGAATTTTCGATTTCTCTGGCAATTTAATGCTGGACGACTTTATTGCTGTTGCTGTTGCTGTTGCTACCGGTTCATTGCCTGTTGCTGTTGTTGCCATTGGATCCTCTGAGGAGGAACAGGAGCTGCCATAGCTATTGGCCGTTGAGGAGTTGGTTGATGTGCTTGAGTTAGTCGATGATATGGATGAATTGAGTCGTTGATTTTGTGCGCTATGCCCATGATGTTGATGGTGTTGCTGCTGCTGTTGTTGTTGTTGTTGTTGATATTGCTGCTGTTGCTTCTGCTGTGACGACTTCCTTTCGATCGCAATGGGCGCACTGATGCCCGCCGCAGGCGTGATAGCAACACTTGCAGCTGCGGCTGTTGTCTCAAATACGGCGCCCGATTTGAGCAGTTGTGTCAAAATGTCAGTCTCAGCTTCGTTATCAGAGTGTCGTCGTTGTTGTTGTTGTTGTTGCTGCTGTTGCTGTTGCTGTTTAATTGCTGCCGTCGCCTTTGCGGCTACTTGGGACACTTGCTGATAGGGCGATCCAAAAGTGTTGCCAGAAACATTGATATTGCTATTGCTATTGTTGTGGTTGATGTTGATGTTGTGGTTGTTGTTATTAATATTGTTGATATTTAGCACCTTTTGGAGCGTCAGCGATGCAATCAACGCCAAGTTATTGACTTTAATCAAAGCATAAAATACACAGTTATTATAATTAAAATATTTCAATATATAGGGCTTATAGAATATCTTGCACAGCTATAATTTATCAAGAATTTAATAAACAATCATTGCTCATGTTGTTTGTAAATAAATATTAAATTCACTATTTGAGTGACAAAAGTCACAAGGCAATGCACACAAGGTAAATATTTAAATAAATTAATTCAATTTGGCGCAATAAAACGACATTGAAACTAATTTCCACATATATGAGAAAAAGTATGCCATGAAATAATTCTATTACGAATATATAGATTATAAAGAAATTATAGACCGTTTTACTAGAGATATTTTACTTCATTTCAATGAAATGTCAAGTAATATAATAATATAATACCATTGTTTTTCATTAACTGATTCCCTCTTTGTTTGACAGTGTAAAACTAATAAACGAAAACGATTAACGGGAAAATGTTTTTGATATATGAAACTTGGCATATCTAGTTACCGGAAATAATACTTAGATATGATAAAGACTGACTGCGAAAAAAAAAAAAAAAAAAAAAAAAAAAAATAATAATGGAGAAATATATATAAGTGTATCGATTGCAGAGTAAGTAGACTTTAAACAGATTTACATTATGTGTAAATACATATATACTAAGTTATACAAAATGAATCTGTTCATGCCAGACAGCGTTTACTGTACACTGTGAAATTTTATTGTATTTGAAAACAAACTGTCAAAGCTTATAAAATTAACAACACAAATTAGTCACTGATTAAGTGAATCCCTTCGATTATCTTAGTTCATTAGTTTAGCCCAAAATGTTGTAGTCGACCTTCAACTGCTTCTTAGCTGCCTTGTTTTCTGCTCTAAAGAGATTTGAATTATATTCAAGCAGAGATCACCTTGAAAATAATGCTGAATAAACATTACTACTGTGTGATGGTATGTGTGTGTTTGTATGATATCTGTGTGTGTGTGTAGATAATGATCACAGCTGGGCCAATGATCTACAAATTGCGCAACAACAATTACAAACACTATTTGTTAGTAATCTTATGGCCTCTACGAGCGCATACTAATTGGGAATGGGCGCAGTTCAGCGACCTGCCTTCGAGTGTGTTGCAAGCGACTGCGCTGCAACTGCACGCGTGGAAAACTACTGAGACTAGCAGATACAAACACCAACGTACAGTGTTGCCTGTTTGGTATGAAAATACTTTCTTTGGAGACACTAAATGCACTAAATTTTACGCAATTTTGAAATATTTAATATTCAATAAATATTCATAAATTTTTTTTAAAGAAAACTAATATTTAATAGAGAAAATTTGTTAAATGTCAAAATAGTATTTTTTAAGTATATACAAGTTTATGACAATTTTTTTATTATTGCATTTTTATTTTCCCATTTTCGATCCATCAAATTGTTTAACTGTCCGATTGAGTAAACAGGCGAGCTTTCCGATTATGAAATCTATACTATACACTTCCAAGTCCAATGTATAGATAGAGATAAGGCTATCGCTCTGTTTCTCTCTCTCTCTCTCGCTCAGTATTTTTTCAAGTGCTGCTATCGTAAAACTAATGTAATATTTATTTTTATTTTACTTTGACATTAATATTTAATTACGTATATTTTTGTATGGCCTAATCATTACCGTTATCATTTTGATGGACTCTGCTATCGGTGTTTATTAGTGTGTTGCCTACTGCTGTCGTTGCCGTTGTTGTTGCCAAAACTGCGGCGGCAGCAGCGGAGCGCCTCTGTCGCTGTTTGTGCTGCGACGTCGACGTTGTTGCAGTGGCAGCAGCGGCTGTTGCGACGACGGTATTATATATTGGGGCAATTTCCATAATATTTTGTATATATTTGTTTTTAATACACTTTGTTTATATTTTTATTTTTAATATATTTGGTTTGTTATATTTTTATTTATTTTTCAATTACAATAAGGTTTAATTTGTTGATTTTCTTTTTTCTTTTTTTCACGCTAATATTATATTCAGTCTTCGTCGTTCTTTTGTCGATTTTTGTCACGTATCTTTACAATATCGTGGATCGCGTTTTTTCTGATTCTGTTGTTGTTGTTGCTGTGAATATGGCTGCCAGTCGTCGAAAATCGTGGTTAGCTGCTGCTGTGGCTGCTTCTGTCGCACAAATTTCAATTTCCAATGCAATTGTTGTACTTGATGGTTTTTATAGCATGCATTTCTTGCTTTTGATGTTGGGATGATGTTGCAATCAACATAATCTTCAATTGTTTTTCTCTTGATTTTGTTTGTGTTGTAAGCCATCCACAATTAATTGTGTCGCTAAACAGAAACAAAAAGTCTCCGTTACTCTCCACTCGACATACGTACGCACGCACACAACCAAACTTGTTTTTCTTCACGTACTTTCTAAAAAAAAATGAGGCTGCCTGTATGTATGTGTGGTTTTTGCGTCACTCTTTTTTTGCAGCTTCAATTTGCCTTAGTCGCTGTTATTTATATTCATGCGTAGTTTATATTTATTTCCTTATACGTTGCACTTAAATTTATCAATTATTTTGCACTATTAAATAGCTTTTTAATTTTTGGAAAAATGCTTCCTCGTCGCACATACACATATGAAAGTCGCAGACGTAAGACCACCTTTTGGCATCAGGAAAATACTCAACGAAGTGTACTACGCGTTGCTTTTAATAGGCATCTATGTCATAGTTCCATCTGCATTGCGGTCACACTATTCAAAACAGGGTTGAAAATCGATCAATACTAGTTCCTTTGATATTGTATTGATAGTAGTGCAAAATTTTCTGAAATAATTAATAAAAATAAAGGATAACATCAGTTTTAGTCCAACTGAAATTATAACATTTAAATTGATAAGCTTTTATCGCAATGCTTTTATCGAGAGGGTGAAATGTACTGTCTTTAACCTTATCGATAACTCGTAGCTCTCAAACGGCCTGCCTCTATCTGTCTCAGCGAGAAGCTTCTGATGAAAATATTGTGAAAAATTGTGTTTATTGTGCTAAAATTCAAGCAATTGTATTATTAAATAATGCAATTTGTGTTTATATTATGCCCACCACTGGCGGTTATTTGTAACTGACGTGCACAGTTTAGCTAAACGTTACAAAATTTGTGTTTTTTGATTGTTCGATTTTTCACACATAAAAAAAAAGCCCGTGGTAGTGTAAAATCTGGTTATTTGCGAGAGCAAACACAATTTGAAAACGTGAAAATCTAATTATAAGCACAGATGTCATATTAAGTAAGCAGCAAAATTGCATTTTCGAACATTTCCGCTTGCACCTGGTTTCCGTGGACGTGCTTTGGATCCGTGGATAACAGAGACGCAAAGGTATTGAGTCTACAACGAGCACACGTAGGGATGAGCGCGTGATTGTCTCACTCCCCAAAAAATAAAATAAAATAAAGCATGCCTGTATATAATTTAAGTTTGAAATAGACAAGTATTAACAATTTTAATAGTACACAAAATTAGTTTGTTCAAGTAACAAATGACATTCACATTTTACACAATATTTCACACTTTTAAAGACTTGGGGCGTGAAACTTATATACGGACGGCCTGTCACGCACTCATCTCTTAGTCTTGCGCTTCAAAGGTCGGGCGATTGGCGATGTTAAAGGCAAAGACGTATTCTTTCTCTTCCACTGATTTTAATTGTTTTTTTTTTTTTTTTTTTTTTTTTTTCTTTAATATAGATAGACGCCGTGTGGGGTTGGGCTTCCGCCCCGCTGCGCTTAGCGGCGAACAGAATGGGCGACCCTCTACTGCCTGGCTCTACGGGCCTTGGCAGCGGCGGTACAGCCGCTGCCACCGGAGGCACAGGCACAACGGGCACGGGCCTGGGCAGCGGCGGCACCAGTGGCACCGAGCGCCCACCCTCGCCGGCCCGTCTCACTCACACATCGGAGAAGCATCCGAAAGTGACGCTCACCGAGCTCAACATGCTGCGCCGCCATAGGGAGCTCTGCGATGTGGTGCTGAATGTAGGCGGACGCAAGATTTTCGCTCATCGCGTCATACTGAGCGCCTGCAGCTCCTATTTCTGTGCCATGTTCACCGGCGAGCTGGAGGAGTCGCGCCAAACCGAGGTCACCATACGCGACATCGATGAGAACGCCATGGAGCTATTGATTGATTTCTGTTACACCGCTCACATCATTGTCGAGGAGTCCAACGTACAGACGCTGCTGCCGGCCGCCTGCCTGCTACAGCTCGTAGAGATTCAGGATATTTGCTGCGAGTTTCTCAAGCGCCAACTCGATCCGACCAACTGCCTGGGCATACGCGCATTCGCCGACACGCACTCCTGCCGCGAACTACTGCGCATTGCCGACAAGTTCACTCAACACAACTTCCAAGAGGTCATGGAGAGCGAGGAGTTCTTGCTATTGCCCGTTGGCCAGTTGGTCGATATTATCTGCAGCGACGAGCTCAATGTGCGCAGCGAGGAGCAAGTTTTCAATGCAGTCATGTCCTGGCTTAAGTACAATGTCGCTGAGAGGCGACAGCATTTGGCACAGGTGAGTGGGATAATAAAAATTGAAATTAAATTTTTTCTAATCATGTAATTTATATTCATAGGTGCTTCAGCATGTGCGCTTGCCGCTGCTCTCGCCCAAGTTCCTGGTGGGCACTGTGGGCTCGGACCTCTTGGTACGCTCGGACGAGGCATGCCGCGATCTGGTCGATGAGGCCAAAAATTACCTGCTCCTGCCGCAGGAACGTCCATTGATGCAGGGTCCACGCACCCGTCCACGGAAACCCACACGACGTGGCGAAGTCTTGTTCGCTGTTGGCGGTTGGTGTTCCGGCGATGCCATCGCCTCAGTCGAACGTTTCGATCCACAGACCAACGATTGGAAAATGGTTGCACCCATGAGCAAACGACGCTGTGGCGTCGGTGTTGCCGTTCTCAATGACCTACTCTATGCTGTTGGCGGGCACGATGGCCAGAGTTACTTGAATAGCATAGAGCGCTATGATCCACAGACCAATCAATGGTCCTGCGATGTGGCGCCCACCACATCGTGTCGCACTAGCGTCGGCGTAGCGGTGCTGGATGGCTTTCTGTATGCTGTGGGCGGTCAGGATGGCGTCCAATGCTTAAATCATGTCGAACGCTATGATCCCAAGGAGAACAAATGGTCCAAGGTGGCACCAATGACCACACGCCGTCTGGGTGTTGCTGTTGCCGTCCTGAGCGGTCATCTCTATGCCATAGGTGGCTCTGATGGCCAGTGCCCGCTCAATACTGTAGAACGATATGACCCGAGGTAATTGTGTTCTCCAAGCCAATTTAATAATATCTCATATGATATTTGTATATCTAATTCACGTATAACAGACAAAACAAATGGGTTGCTGTGAATCCCATGTCGACTCGCCGTAAACACCTTGGCTGCGCCGTATTCAATAATTATATTTATGCTGTCGGCGGTCGCGATGATTGCATGGAGCTGTCCTCTGCGGAGCGCTACAATCCGCTAACCAACACCTGGAGTCCAATTGTGGCCATGACCTCACGACGCAGCGGCGTAATTTATAATTTATTATAAACTATTTACAATTTTTACTAATTTTTTCCTTTTATTCAGGTCGGCCTAGCCGTTGTTAATGGACAATTGTATGCTGTGGGCGGCTTTGATGGCTCCGCCTATTTGAAGACCATTGAGGTCTACGATCCAGAGACGAATCAATGGCGCCTTTGCGGCTGCATGAACTATCGCCGTTTGGGCGGCGGCGTTGGCGTTATGCGCGCACCTCAGACTGAGAATTATATGTGGTGCGCAAAATAGTTTTATCTAGAGTATTAACTATAAAGTAATTTCATTCTTATCTGCATAACGTTATTTTGCTCCTTTTTTTACACTTTATGCAAACCCAAAATGAACAAACGTAGGATAAGGAAGGATTCGGTCGTCTGATGGGAGCAGAAGCCGACGTCAGCGTTGCCATCACAAACGTTGCCGCCGCCGCATTTCTACTGAAGGAGCATCAACAAAGAATACACAAACAGATCCACAGCAAACTGCAACAAATCGAAGCCAAATTTTTTTCAGCGTTATGATGTCGATGAACATTAAGGACGTAATTGTATAATTGATTGTTAATTGTTTCCACATTTGGTAGCGCGTTAAATGAAAAATGTTTATTGTATCGCGAGTTTTTAACAAATATTCAAAGTGTTAAATCTAAGCTAATGAACACCTACATCTATACATATATTACATGAATGGAATATTTGGCAACAAATCCTGCATGTTCTATGTAAAAAAAAAAAAAAAAACACGGTTAAAATTTCCAGGAAATTTTCTAACATGCCTTCTCCCTAAAACAAATAATCTACAAGTTCTCGAAAACGAAAAAAAAAAACTCACACGCACCCTCACAAAAACAAAGCATTAAAAATCAAATATAATATAGAATTCGATTATAAATTAATTATGCATATTGTAAAATGCTATGATAAACAAACCAAGAAATATGTATTCGAAAATAAATACAATAATATTGCATGTAGGGCTTATAAAAAAAAAGAGAAATTTAAATCATACTTGCATTAAGAATGAGTAATAACAAAAATAAATAATTTAAGTAAATAAGCCCCAAAAAGGACAGCTTCCTATCAAGCTTAAAAGGATTGAAATTACAATGAAATTTAGATCTTACCTAGTGCATAACTAATTTCAATAGACACAATTAACGACTAACCTGCATACATATATATATACATCTAATAAATAGGTTTAAACTATTCTCGAAAACACAATTTGTTAAGTGTTGTGACAGCTGCACAGCTCACAATATGTTGCTAAGGAACCAACTCGAAATAACAAAACAAAAAAAAAATCGAAAAAAAAAAATGACAGCTCTGATTATGATAGTAGGTTTTCATCTATATAATTTATTTAATAATCCTTGTTTCGTTATTGACTTATTAAACTCACACACACATACATTTATATATACATTTACATCATTCATATTTATTTATTCTTAATTTTTTAAAGAATTTTCGTCTCATTATGCGAGTAAATATTGCATAAGATATTATTATTTGAAACGTTGTTAATTTGGAAAACAAATTTGAAGTTTGCTTCCAAACTAGATTAAGAATAGCATTTAACAAAATTAATTTATATATATTAAGATATTGACACACTAAAAATGGCAAATCAAATCAACAGAAAACGTAAATAATTGCACAGTAAAAAAAAAACACACACCCACAACAAAATAAAAGGTATCACATATAAGATAATATATGAATTAAAAAGTAAATATATCAGTACCGCATTAAATATATATTGCATTTTATGTATTGATAAAGGGGTCAGCCTGTTAAACAGTTAAATTATTTTGAAATTTCGAATGCTCAGTACAAACAGAATATCGATAATGCAGTACTTATCGTTTCGATAAGTGATAATGACAAATTAGGTCACCCTAAGCTCATGATTGAGTGCGTCCTTTAACAGTGTCCCAAACTGTTGATGTTATAAAAACGAAAGTTACTTAAAAGGATTTACATAATGTGGATGTACAAACTGCTTTTAAATTTAAAAACTGAACAAGATAAAATAATTTCTCTACAGGTGCAGCAACGGGAAATTGGAATTAATTTAAATTTGTTTTAGGACCTGTC